GCTGAGGAATGAGTACAGACAAAGGTCTAGGAGTCTGAGAAAGAGACGCTTCTTTCCTTCACAGATGCCTCAGAGTCATTCCAGAGGGTGCGATGATTCTTTCAAGAAGGAACTCTCTTGGGTTATCAGCTTTGAGTAGGTAACAATCATTAAGCATCCCAGTCCTTGGTGACTCAAACCTAAAAGATCCTGGTTTTTCTAAAGCATAACAGTGGGTGAATTTGTGAATGGATGGAATCTAACCATTACCATTGCTTCTCCGCTTACTCTACAGTTCTTAATTTTCTCTTTGCCCAGAGAGATGTAAGATTTTAATTCAAAACATATGTTGAATTATAGCTTCAACATAGAGTATCACCAAATCAAATACTTCCCCCCCTTTTTTTAGCAGTAAATGGAGCTGGGCTCTTAATATATAGTTGGATCTTTTCTAACAGTTCCGGACACAGAATCTAAACCTCGTGTCTAAAAGGTTTTAGAGGTGCTACGTTTGAATAACATTTCTAAATTATTACTGGATTTAAGTCTTGGGTAAGAGCAATGAGATTTGGCTTAATGAAACAATAATGTAGTAAACTGAAGTAAATGAAGACTTTTAAAAAACACTTGCTCTAATAATAATGTCGGTTCCTCTTGGCTATTTCATTATATTTTATTTTAGGTTGTTCTTAGTTAAAAGAATACATTAAGGAATATTATTTCATATAAACAAAGAAAAATGTAGAATTTTCTAGAATTTAATTATTAAAATAAATGAAAAGATTTTCTTTTCAAAGAAAATAAATGAAAAGATTTTCAAAAATGTCAAAGAAACAGAGAAAATAAAGCCACATTTTCCAGGACAATGGTACATGTGTGACTTTTATAAATTACCAAATTCAAGTTATAAAATTCAAGCTCCATCATGCAGGAAAGGGGAATAACTGGCTGGCTCTGGCTTTCCATCTGTACTTCCTTGTAAAATGTCTTCCTATTTAACTAACCTTCACGTGTACCCTTGGCTATGCTGTAGGCAACACGGCTCCAGAGATCAACTGCTGTCTGTGCTCTGAGTGGTTGGGGGAGGCGTCTGCGAATAAATCAATACTACAGACAAAGTCCATCTACAAACTTTGTGAGTCATGAGACTGAGGCCTTGTGTCTCCAAAGACACCAGGGCGTATCGCGTGCACACTGATTGTGTCTATTCTTTCATTCTTTGCAAGGATACTGAAAGGAGTTTCATAAGCTCCCTGCGGAGAAAATGTCAGAATTTCTCCTTACGGCTGGTAGCCCGTCATTTTTAGCTTTTGCAAAACCAAATGAAACCATTCGGTACTATCTGTTTCTGTTACAAAAACAAAAATGTAGATACAGGATGGAAGAATAATTTCTAATCTTAATAATCCTAAAAAGATTTTCCTGCTCGTTGGTTTACAAAGGTTGTTCATATTTTTATTTTAAAATTAAAAATGAAAGAACTAGTTTATGATAAAGAATATGCACTGAAGCAATATTTTTCTCATTAACACCATGGAAGAGAGACAGTGAACTAAAGAGCTTGCTTTATCTATCCACAATTTCATTCTTATAATTTTCCATACTAAGAGTATTAAAGAAGAGTATGTTTGTCTTTGGAATAAATGTGGCATAAATTGGGTAGCAAGAGTTAAGAAAGTATATTTTTCCCAATGTATTTCTTATATGTCTTAAAATCCTATATTTCTTAAAATCTAGCCCAGAACTTAGAAAACTAAAAATATTATAGGAACCCCTCAGAGGCAGAATTTGTCTTCATTAAATTTAGGGTTTACAAAAAGCTTTTTTGCTGTCACTAAATGTCTTAAGACATACAGAGCTTTAATTTGATTAATTTTTTTTGGCCATAAATGAATATTCTTATTTTTTCAGGCTGTTTACTCCTTCTGATTAGTCCTCAACAGCCATGCCACTTATCTTAGTAAACTTTGGGGTTTTAATCCAGAGAAAAAGGGACAGTACCCATTTATTGTTGAGAGGAGAAAGAAATGAAATGTTTAAAAAGGGAACAGCTGAGAAAGTTTAGCTTGTGTGGACAAACACCCAAACAATGATGAAAATGCACTCACCCTGGCTTTGGAGCCAAAATTCTTCATCCATACCCTGAACCAGACTTGCTGCCTTTAAAATATGTGCCCTTTCCTGAAGTCCTTCCCATCAGCCTTTAGCAACAGGGGAGCATTCCCTGCTTGGAAACCAGGTCAAATCCCCTTGGCCATGAGTAGAGAGATTTGGGTCCTGCAACTGGCTCTGATAGAGGAGGTGGAGGATCAACCCTACAATCAAAGTGAGAGATGATTGTCATCCACACTGTAGGTTGGGAGGAAATAGGGGACAGGGACAGGGACAGGCCTCTTTCCTGAACTCTTGGACTTGAAAGGCCTGACCCTTATACCATGAGCTTTGACAGCTTCTGATTCAGACACCTAAATTCTGAGGAAAGAGTTACAGTATTCACACTGTGGGTCCAGAGAAATTTTGCCTTGAAAAGCCAGGCTTTATTCCACTGACTCTTATTAATCCAGGAGCTGCTCTTCCCAGAATTTAAGCTGCTTTTTGTCTATTCATTGGTCTTCTACTTCAGGGATCAAATGTTTTCTCTTCTGACCAAGATTCCTTTCTTTCTCAGCTGTACATTCTAGGCCAGTAGGACTTACCTTGTGGTCTGCAGAACACTAAACAGGTTAGTCAGATTTATGGGGCAAAAAGTCTCTTCTTATTTTTACTAATCTTTAACTGAAATTTAGCATCCACATTGTTCCATATTTTATTCGATCCCTGGTACCAAAAAAAAAAATATATATATATATATATATAATATGATGACACTCATCATTGGGAATATGTACCTTTACATGCTATATCTTTGTTCTATTTTTTTTCACCATTCCCCTGCTCTCCTTTGCACCTTTTCATCCTCCCCTATTTACAAAGACTTTATTTCTGTTTTTTTTCTTTTCTTGTGACAAAGTAGTAGCTATAAAGAGAAGTCACAGTTTTTTTAATATTATTCTACAGCTTTTGCTGTTGTCTTTAAATAGCTTTGGTAATTATTTTATTTGTTTGGAATAACAAGTTGTGGGACCATCACAAAATCGAATGCATTCATAGTGAAGCAAGTGTGATCCTATACCAATAAGTGGATGCTTTGGTGCTCGATAACTATATATACACACATTTTGGTACCAGGGATTGAACTTAGGACCCTGCACTTCTGGGGCAGGAGGCTTGATAACTATATTTTAAAAGAACTAGCTCCTTGTCAATCTTGTGTATATTATTTTATATATTGACAAATAGGTTATTCAATAGTCATCAGTCCATCAAATCAGTCTGTGAGGTAAAAATAAATAAATAAATAGCATAATATTGCCTTGATTTTGTCTGTGTTACATACTGGTTGTTAATTTGGAAAAAGTCATTAAATCAGATATAAACTTCTAGAACCACAGAAGAAATGCAAGGGAAACATTTTCATGTGCTAGAAGTGTTTGTGTCACACCATAAGAAATTAGCAAACTATCACAGCATGGATATATTACAAAAAAAGTGTAAACTTGGAAAATAGAGACATGAGAAAAAGAGTCATATTACTAAATGGCAGCATCACCTAGAGCACCAGAATAAAAGGAGAACGACAAAAATAAAAAAGCCAAATAAAAACTAAAAACGAAAAAAACCCCAAACACTGTAGCAGAAAAACCTTCCATGTCTGGCAGAGGAAAAGGAAATGTAGAAGAGTGAAAGGATAGAAATAATAGAGAGCGAACTAGAAAGAAATAGAAACAGGGAAGGGATGGTGATAGAAGGGAAATTTTCTGGACTTAGCAAAGCTTGAGTTTGTGTAACTGTTTCCCTTACTCCTCAGTCATTAATCTCTCATCCTGATATTTGAATAACTTCTATGAGCTTTGTTCCTTCATTTTTAAACATTTGGGCAATAGCGACTATATTACTAGAAATAGATTAAGTTAAAAATATAGAAAATATTCTTCACAAATATAGTTGGAATTGAATACACATAAACATAGGCTTCGCATTTTAGCTCTACTACATGAGTTAGAAAGCCACCACAACATGTCAAAGACACTAGAAGAATTCCAATCTCTTGCATTTATGAGTACAACAAATACTAAAAATACCCCAAGTTCAATCATGATTAACATATCTATTAACTTGTTCTTCATTTTGATCACAAATCTTGGTATAAAATAGTCTCAGCTTCCTCAGGAAAGACAGAAAAGCACATAAGACAGCTCAGAGCAACACCCCATAAGTAGCCAATTACTTGCCATAAAGAAATGGACAAAAAGATTCTCTAAAAGCATAGGATGTGATGTTCTGTCTTCTCTCTCTAGGAAATCTTCCTCTGGCATTTACTTTGGAATCGAGGCCTTAGTTCCACTGAAAAACACTTAGTACTGTGTTCTACTTCAAGAAATAACTGTGTGCAATTCCTGTTTTCCTGAAAAAAGATATAGCAGGTTCAGTCATAAGCCAGTCCTCAAGACTGTGAGAACTTAAAGAGAATATATTTCAACAGCATTAAACTCATTAGTTCTTGATGTTATTTTTTTCATGAAACCCAAATGTTAAACTTGTTTGGATTGGAACTATTTTCCTATCTTGAAATTAGCTCTTCTGTACTTGGAAAAGGAGAGCGGGATAGATGGATGTAATACTGGCAGATTCAGTGGGGATAGAAGAGAGTGAAAGGAGAGAATAACTAAAGGATTGTGTTGTAATTGGAGGAGGAGCCAAAAAAGTAAGGATGTCTGAGGATCCAGGACACATTATCATAAGCTCAGTGTGCATTTTTTGCTGCCGGCCTTCCTCTGACCTGGCCACACCCATAAGGGACACAGTTCAGCTTGACCAATGACTTCAGGGTAAAGAAGGGGCCAGAACTTCACCCGTGAAGAATAAAAGGAGACAACTTCCAGCAGCAGCAGCACATACCTGCTGCTGACACTTCTGTGATCACTAGCAAGCTCCCGGACCTGACATCATGGTGCATTTTACTTCTGAGGAAAAGAGCATCGTCAGTGCCCTGTGGGGCAAGGTGAATGTGGAGGAGATGGGAGGTGAAACCTTGGGCAGGTAAGCACAGCTTCTCCATGCATGAAACTGAGCCTGGAAATTGTCTGGGAAATTCCTCAAGATTTTGAATGTCTCTGATTTTCTGTTACTACCCTATCTCATAGGCTCCTCGTTGTCTACCCCTGGACTCAAAGATTCTTTGACAGCTTTGGCAACTTGTCTTCTCCCTCTGCCATCATGGGCAACCCCAAGGTCAAGGCCCATGGCAAGAAGGTGCTGACCTCCTTTGGAGAGGCCATTAAGAACCTGGACAACCTCAAGGGCACTTTTGCTAAGCTGAGTGAGCTGCACTGTGACAAGCTGCATGTGGATCCCGAGAACTTCAGGGTGAGTTTAGGAAAAGTTCATATGCATTTATGGTGTTTTGCTCAGGGACAATAATAGAAACTGACACTGTGGTTGGAAATGGCAGCAAAGATCTCAGAAATCTTGGTCTAGCTTGACATTAGGTGGATAGATGTCTTATGGGCATAACCAAATCCAACTTGGTTCACAAAGGTGACAGAATGGGTAATTAGAAACCCTGAATTTGCTTTTCATAAAATCTTATCAGAACTGGATGTGTTTATCCTGAGGAATAATGTTAGAGTAAAGAAGATTTGGCAAGGAGAACTAAAATTTGGCTTTTGGTAGATATATACTTATTTTAGTTTTTTTGTTTGTTTGTTTGTTTTTTGTTTTTTTGGTACCAGGGATCAAACTCGGGACCTTATGCTTGCGAGGCAGGCAGCAGAACCACTGAGCTAAATCCCCAGCCCCCATACTTATTTTAAGGGAGGAGAAATGCTTGATTTTATGTGTGTCCTAATTGTAGAAATTTAGATATAGCTTTTGGAACAATTTGAAAAGAAGATTTTTGTCAACATAAAACGAGTTCTCTAAAATCTCTTAAATTTCATTGGAGTATTTTGACCAAATAAATGCTTGTTCCATATTCAGTGAGATATTTTAAACCGCCACTGAGAGCCCCTTTACAACAAAAATCGTATTTATTGAAATTAAACAATTGTTGAATGAGAAGGAAAGGAGCACAAGAGAATAAGAATGGTAAAATGAGCAGAAAGTAAAGAGAAAGACAGGCAGAATGTTAAGAGGGGGGTCATGAATGAAACTGAACCTAAGCTCTGAGAGATGATTGGACAGGAAGTCTGGTGTTGCATTTGTCCGTGAGTGTGGGTATGAAGCCATTTCTTCTCCCTGCAAATTCTTGCAAATTCTTCTACTCAACATGTTGGCGTGCTGTTTTGTTTCACCCACAGCTCCTGGGTAACGTGCTTGTGATCGTTCTGGCTACTCACTTTGGCAAGGAATTTACCCCTGATGTGCAGTCTGCCTGGCAAAAACTGGTGTCTGGTGTTGCCATTGCTCTGGCCCACAAGTACCACTGAGTCCTCTTTCCAGTCCACCAGTGTTCCTGTGTGCCCCAATATCCTTCTCCTGCACATGGGGACCTGGCCTGGCCTTGAAAGTACAGCTTCTATTCAATAAAAACATTCTTTTCAGTAATTAAAAATTGGTATTTTGTCTTCTCTGTCTTTTACACTTGTGTTGAAGTAAAAGGATTCATGGATTGAAGGGTGGGTTGCAATATAGGAAGAAATGAAAGCTTCTTTGAGAAGCATGTAGGGTACTCATCAAAGATATTTGTCAGTGGGAGATTAAGGGGGCCAAGATGGGAGAAGTTCTGTAAAGAGCAAGGGTTAGTTAAAAGGGCAAGGACCTGTGGGGCAGTGTGGCAAAAATTACTGCAGAGAGGAAAAAGGAAGTAGTAAGTGGTAACTGAGAACACAAAGATGTAGTCCATGCCAAATTTCCTTAAAAGTAAAAAGAAAAATCTTTGGCGGGATCCAAGTTCTGAACAAATATTACTAATTTAATCTATTCTAATGTACATCTTGAAGCAGCTAACTTGTCCTGTCGTTTGGGATTGATTTGGAGATAAAAGGATGAGTTAAGGGGCAGCTAGGAGTTTTCCAGAAAAAGTCCGCATGATTCAACAATAGCTTGATCTTTTCCCAAGGGTCCTTTTGTCTTAATCAGGAGCCAAAGATAAGACACATGGAATCACTGTGCATTACCTTCTGGCAGAGTGTAGCATGCACTAAAATGGAGTTAGAATACAAGTAATAACGTTTTTGGAGGGGTGGATCAAAGCTTTATGTAGGAGAGAAAAGTCTATATGAATAATAACAAGGTTCATAATCTAAAACCAATGAGCTTGGATGTGGTGACCTGCACATAGCTGCTTCTCTGGAAGGCGGGAGACTTAACACAGGTGCAGTATTAGCAAACAGTGAAGGACTTGACTACAAAAATGAATGCCATTACTATGCTATCAGAATAGAAAACAATAAATATTCTTAGACTGTTATGTGACTCAAAAATATATTTTTTTGGAAAAGCAATGTTCTTATGCCTGCATATTGCATAGAAGTGCAGTTAGAAGACATCTCTGCAAACAAGTTTGAAAGTCAAAGTAAAGGAAGACCTCCCCATGAGGTACAGAGTTCCATTCACCGAAGGAACATCGTGGAAAGGAAATATTTTAAATTTGTACAGATTAGATGTGGGTGATGACTCAAAGAGAAAAGTAATGGTTACAACCCAAGAAAAGCAGTGAGGTCTGCAAAACGGAGGTGGACAAATGTAGAGTGAGTGGTTGGAACAAAGGAGGAAGTGGCAGGTGAGGGTAAGCAACCAGTCTGAGGGAATAAGATGGGGCGAGGCCGTGCACTGGCCTTGGGACCCTCACACTACGTATTAACTGAAGCACCAGAGGGAGTGCTAGCTGGATTGCTCAGTCTTCACCCGAGGCCTGAGTCAAACTCTCCTATCAAGCACTGAGACCTCTACACTACAAGTGAGCATGGGACATCTTGGCAAATAGAGCTCTATTAGAGATTCATTTTCTCCATACACTGATCAAAAATTTTTTTTCGTGAATTTAATTTGGTTTGATGTTTTCATGATAGGATTGATAGACCAGTGATCATTGTAGTTTCAGGCAATCAACAATACTGGTCTCTCTGAGCTATGCAGTTTTAAAAATATGTCTCCAAACAGAATAAATAGGGGAGATACATATTGCACCAAATCTTCTCATGTAGTCAGTTCATTAAAAACTGGGAGTCACATCCATTGTTAATTGATCTTTTTCTCTTGTTCTTGCATCCAGATATTGTTCTGGCCCTGCAAAGAAGCAAACTATTGTCTGGCATGGAGTATCAAGAAGTCATGATATTACCAGTTCAACACAACATCACTAGAAAGAATTCATAACTTACACACATGAATCTACACAGCTACACAAGTCTAGGTGAGTCAGGGGTTTTAACAGTTGAAAGGATAACTAATTCTTGCTGATAGACAACAAACGTCACCTCAAAATAAAGTGATAAACAGTGTCATTTTGGACTAGTAGTCAGATAAGAGAGCAAAGTGTTTGAAGTGTCATTACTAGGATTGTAATTTTTTTCAGCACTTTCTCACTCTCTACCACTAAAGAAAAGCTCTTTGTGCCACAATATTTCCTGCCATTTTTAACTATATCGTTATGTATCATTCTCAGTGGGACTTTATTTATTTTTCTAACACACCAAAAATTTATTTTTTCTCACTTCAGAGTTCTGAACTTGCCATTCCAACTTCTAATTATTTCCTCCCTACATTTTTCCCATAGAAAATTATTATTCGTTATTGTAGTCCCAGATCAAAGCCTTGCTCCCTAGAGGGACCCTTCTAAACCAAACCATGCTCCATTTTATGGTGTGTTCAGATAGTAATTTCCTTTATAGTAAATAATATCTAAAGTTATTTTGTTGATTAGTTTTATTTATTCGTTTTGTGTCTTTCATCCTCTAAATTATAAAGCTTCAGAGAAAGACTTTATGACGTGATTCATGTATCTTACATCCTCAGATTTTATAAAATCATGACAGTTATTAAACAAATAGTTGTTCAATGTAGATTTCAAAACACATGGCAATGAATGCTCTAAAACACACAAAAGCCTATTGTGAGAAATCACTTTATACATGAGGATTTAGGCAATGACAAAGTAATTACAGGGGGAAAATTGAGGGTAAAAATAGCTATGAACATGGAGAATTCAAGAAGCTGTTGGAAGATATTGCCAAAGGTGTGTAAGGAGGCAGTGGCTACTGATAACTTTTGAATCACTATTTTAATATTGGGAAGAATAGGTAAGTTGCTTGTAGAGAGGAGAGGTCAGAAATATCCCTCAGGCTGACTAGGGGTAATTGAAATGCACAGGTTAAGATAGTTGGTGACTTAGATACCAGCTTCTGAGTCGTTCTTCAAGGCCAGGCATCACTGGACTCTCAGATGTGGCCAGTTACACCTGCACACATCCATCCCACCTCAGAGGAAATCTACCCTGGATTTCTCTCAGGTTCCAGCCTAGTGAAACTCTCATCTATTCTTCTACTAAGAGAAGTTGCAAATTACTATTGTAAAACTGGTATCTTAACAAGTCCCCTCTTATGATCTTTTAATTAGCTTATACATAAACAAAAATAGGGTTTACATGCAAATAGAGAGACTGGAAGGATTTCACCAATGTTATTAATTTCAGTCCACTTGAAAGGTTAGGGGATCAACTAATTTGAAAATAAAGCTCCTCTTTAACAAAAGACGTAAAATACTTTTATGTGCCTTTTTGAAAATAGTCAAGCCAGACTTCTAAAATTTCAGGCATCATGATCTAGCAAAGTTACTTTCAGGAAAGAAAGTAAGCTATCTTCCTACCATGTTGAGCATGATATGTCAGAAACAGAACTGAGCTAGAGATAAAGTTGTCTAAAGAGAAAGTACAGGAGGTGCTTCCTGAAGTCATGCCTTAGAATAACACGGGCTGAAATGATTTGAAAGAGGAATCAATCAAACTCACAGTACTTACCACGGTACTTCCTCAGCTGACCTCATTGCATGAGAGAATTATAACCAAACCCTGGACCACCAAGAGCACACACTAATGCAGTGGGCTTATCTAGTGCCTACATAAATACCTTGATATAGAGGCACATACTTCTGGTCAGATAAAATGTTTTATTTTAAACAGGGATACTAAGGCAAGACTTTTTAGTTCTTTATTATGTTACATAACGTTAATCTATTCCTGTATTAATCTATTCTGATGCTTTATGGGATTTTTCTCAGGAATTGTGAGCTAGAGATATTATCCTGCAAACTCATAGAAAAAATATTTAGGAAACCACTTCTCTTGGAAACCACTTTTATCCAAATGAGATTCATCATTGTTCCATCAGAGATGTTGAGACTTGTGCCTAGAGCAAATCTCATAATCCCGGTGTTTTCCACATCTTGGCTGTGTTTTGTGTTTTATCACTCTGAGGCTAGAGACAAAAACGTAGGGAAGGCTGGAAAGGATGTCATGGAGTATCCTGTGAGGAGGAGAAGGAAACTGGCTTTAATGAAAAAATAAATAAAGACAAAATTGAGATAATTGACGTGAAGCTATAATGTAAAATTGCTATTAAAAACTTCAAAGGCAGAGTCCTCTTTACAGGGCCTCCTGGACACTGTCTCAGTGTGAATATCTGAATAAACTCTTCCCTACCTCAGCCCCAGCCCAGACCTGACCAGCCTTGCCTGGACCAATAGCCTCAGATTATCTGGTGAGCAGAGGGTCAAGGATGAAGAATAAAAGATCATGCCTTCCAGCAGTTTCATGGACTTGATTCTGAAACCTGGGCTGTCAACAAACTCTGAGACCAGACACCATGGTTCATTTCACAGCTGAGGATGAAGCTGCTATCTCAAGTGTATGGAGAAAGGTGAATGTGGAAGAGGCTGGAGGAGAAACTCTGGGAAGGTAGGTTCTGGAGGCCAAGACAAGGGATGGAAGGAAGGAAACTGTGGCTGGCAGAGATCCAGACCTCTTCTCTGTATTTTTGACACATTCTGACTTCCCAATTATTATTGTTCCATCTCACAGGCTCCTTGTGGTCTACCCTTGGACCCAGAGGTTCTTTGACAACTTTGGAAATCTGTCCTCTGCCTCTGCCATCATGGGCAACCCCAAGGTCAAGGCCCATGGTAAGAAGGTGTTGAGTTCTTTGGGACAAGCTCTAAAGAACATAGATGATCTGAAGAGCATCTTTGCCCAGCTAAGTGAGCTGCGCTGTGACAAGCTGCATGTGGACCCTGAAAACTTCAAGGTGAGTCGAGGAGGGGCTTGAGATGGGGAAACGTAGGTAAAGAAACAGTGATTTGAGCATAACTGGGGTCACCTGCAGGGTGTGGGATATTCGGAAATAGTAAGACAGGGGGTAAAGAAACTGCAGAGAATCAGCCTAGTTGAGTAATGCACCTGGGATTACAGTAGGTGTCTAGAAGTTTAGAGAGACTAGTCCATACTCTCCTGGTATTGAAGGGAGACTTGTGCAGAGATGAGGAAATTTGGTTGGATTAATTAAACTATATAGTCTTTGTAGAAGGAACTTTTCTAAGAGTAAAGTTTATGTAGAAATAACTGTTTTTTCCTCTTATTAAATTTAAAATTCTTCTGGAGGCAGAAGCTACCTGGCCACAGATAAGGTCCACTGAAATAGGCATGTGTTGACTCAGTAAGATGGAAACAAAGTGGCCAAATATTGCTGAGACTATTCTTATATTGGCCTAATGCTTGTGTAAAGTTTCTGATACCAAATTTACATTCTACAATTCTAGAACAGGGGCAATATGTCTTTAATATAGGCAAACAAGTGGAGCATGTTTGGAATTGTGAGTTTTATTTTGGTCAGCCCCCACAAAAAGCAGAGGGATTTTGGTGATAAGAAGATACACCAATTTAAATCATGTTACAGATATTTAAATTTCAAGATTTAAATCATGATCAGGACTGCAAGGCTAGCAAACTACCAGTGTTTAAGGGTTGGGCAACATCTCAGCTGCTGAGTAAAGCTGATACCAACTTGATTGTGAGTGGGAGCTGTGTTTTCAGATATCTGGAGACCAGCCTAGAGCTCTTTATTCACCATGTGCTTATATCTATTGTCCCTTTCCAAATGACAGCTCTTGGGAAATGTACTACTGATTGTCCTGGCAAAACATGCTGGTGAGGAATTCAATCCCGAGGTACAGGCAGCCTGGCAGAAGCTGATGGCTGGAGTGGCCAATGCCCTGGCCTACAAGTATCATTGAATCCTCTGACCAGAGTGAAGAGTTTTAGGGGACAATTCCTCAAATAATAAAGAAAATAATAAAAATATTCTGCTATTAAAACATATGTGATTGTCTTCAGTTCTTTATCCATGTACTTTTAAATATGTAAACCCAAAAGATTTTATGCTGAGGGTTGTGTGTGCGTGTGTGTGCACGCGCATGTGTAGGTGTGTGTGTGTGATGAATGAATGTTCTCTGTTTGTTGTTGTATGAAATAAGGCAATACATGATGTGCATAGAGGAGCTCTTCCAGGGGAAGAAAAAGGTGCAGGAGGGTTTTTGTTTGAAGGAAGGGTTCTGTGGGACAAGGAGTCTCAGAATATGTAGATGATGGGAAGAGGACTTCAGAGAAGACCTCAAGCTGGTTGGAGGCAGAGTAACAAGAATGGGGCTCAGTGGAGAAAAATTATTCCAGTCCTTAGGAGCTGAAGGTCCAGACTGGGATTGTGACATTCTATTTAGGCAAGAGAATTTCTAGGAGCACCTAGATTTTCACAACCTTTATGAGGCTAGATTGAGGATTGATAGAGTTAATGGTCAGAACAAAGGATATGTCTTTTCTAAGTCCTTTTCACAGAAATGGTATTCTTTTTACTTAGTAACTTTATGCATTAAGGTTTGATGTGTGCCTTAAGTTTAAATTGGTATCATGACCTCAGGAAATACAGTGTCCAAGTGTGCAGAGTGATTGCAAAGTGTCAAGAAACAGGCTTCATTATAAACTTCTGGGAGACATAGGGATATTTGTAAGGAAATGAACCAACGAAAGGTTAAAAGACAACAACAGCATGCCATGTCTGACCAATGTGCCAGCAATGGGATTTTGAAAGGAAATGGGAAGAATCTGTACAGATTAACTGTGAAGGCAGATTCACTAGTCCTCGGGTGATAAATTAATCCACATTTATAAGCAAGAGTGGAAGGTAACCTCCAGGAAATTTAGATTATCTTCCTTGTAGGTGCTCATAGGGTAGGGATCATGCTAAGTTCAGTGAACTAATTTCTATGGTTTAAATGCCTTGGAATAAATCCACACTCAACTCTCACCACCAACACACAAATAATAGGCCTGAACCCATCTTTCTAATTCTGATTCCTTTCATTTCCTTCACATATTTTCATTGACCTCTTAATGTTTTTATATGTAAGGAAATGCCAAAGTTTTAATGTTTGTTGGATTTTTTAAATTTCTTCTTTTTCCCCCAAGTCTCGGAATTCTGTATTTGCCTTTTCTGTTTTTATGAACTTGCTCTCCAAATACTTGTGACTGTATCCATCTTGTCTTGAAGTCACTTCCAATGTGACTACTTTTATTACATCCATACAATGTTGCTTTTCTAATCACTTGCTACCACATCATTATTTGTATTTTCTTCCTGTCTAAAATCCACTTATTTGTTTAATTGTTTCTGGTGGGCTCTTCAACAGATAAAGCCACATAAGGTGTCTATCTTGTTCACTAATCATTCCCAGTGTTTTAAACAACATATGACGTGATGACCCTTGGATGTTTTTGAATATATATGAATGAATGTTTGGGAAACTATTAGATAATTGTGAGGGTGCTCTAGTATTGATGTGATAAAGGTCCAGATGTCAATAGAAACAGTGAACAAGGAAATAAATTGGATGAGTGGAACAATCAGGAACAAGAAAGCATCAGAAAAGTCCTGGAAGGTGAAGTAACTACAGTAATCACTGTCTGGTTGCTAGAAAGATGGGCAGGTCATTCACTGACATGCAGAGTTTAAATGTTCCTGAGTCAGGAGGAAGGGGTGATGGCAAACACATACGGTGTCAGACATGAGCATTTGGGAACATTACAGGACAGGTACTCTGAGCAGAATTTTCAAGTCAATTCCCCTAATGAGTTTAGGACTCCTTGCTGTATAATGGTGTCTTCTTTCCAGTTCATTAACCTCTGGTTTTAAAATGAGTCCTTTTGGACTCTTCTTTTCTTTATATTTCTGTACAAAGCTCAAAATATTCTTTTTAATGTCTCCACTAAAATATAGCTTGTACCAATGCAACTTGAGACTGAGAGCTTAGATATTTCCATTTGTCATGATCAACCAGATCCTGGTACCTTACCAATTGTATTCAATATTTTCCATTTATTTTCAAATATGAATGAATCAACATCTCACACTATTTAAAGTAGAAAGAAATAATTTCTTTCCTAATAGAAGAGATTTGGGTGTAATATGTTGGATCTAAATATTACAGCACAATATTTCTGTAAATATACACAGAGCTCACTCACTAAACTGTAGTTTTGTAAGAATTTGTCCCATGGAGAAACAACAAAATCAGCGAAATCTAGGAACAACAGGCTCAGGAAGAAAATAATGAAATGATCCATCCCCTTCATGATTGGAAATGTTCACTGTATATTTCTATAATTGCCTGTTTCAAATAAGCAAGAATGAAGTGCCTGAGGTCATAGTAGTACTAGTGTGTGGAATACTGTCAGTGATGACTCTCTTGGGCTGACTAGATATGAAAAGGTTAAATCCTATAAAAGAAAGAGTATAGATCTAGTATAAATTAGATATATATCAGACTTTGTCATAGAATCTTATATTATTTTCTTCACTGGAAACATAAACACTCCCCATTTCCCTTAACAGCCAATTGAGTAGTCTCTGACATGAGTGGGCAGCGAGCTATGCGGTTTTGGCAACAGAGATTTACCCATGTAATAAAAGTGCACAGATTTTGCCCAGGTAGTGCATATACTAATAAAACTCACAAATAAAGAAGTAATGTTCACTTCTTGCCTAAATTACACAGTTCTTCACTTTTATGTATCCCAAACAATACTGGATTCAGATATTTTTTTCTTTTTCAGGGAGCTATAGAAACATGAGCCCCATCTAAGCTTTAGGAAAATTGGTAATCAAAAAATAGCTAAGGTTTCTCCAGTCTGTACTGCAGCAGAACATAGGGGGACAGCACATTACAGCACGGATTAAACCCACAAGAGATTTATGATTCTTAAACTTGCTAACTCTAATCCACACTTTCAGGTCAACTACAGGTGATTCTAGGAATAGTTATGGTAGGGGTATGAACACCATAGTAGAATTCAGGGGAGATGATAGAATCTCCTCCATAGGTTCATTAGCACTTTCAGAGATGAAAATGTCCATCTCCCAAAACATTCCTTGTTTAAATTCCATCATGGTGTCACAATCTACTCTTGAGCAATAGCCTCAAATTATTGGGATAAATAAAACCTAAAAGCAAGAGGTAAGGAATTAAAGGCTACACAGAGCCATCAGCACAGACCTTGTGGTCTATCTGTGATGATCAGTGAACTCCCATATTTGATACCATGCTACACTTTATTGTAAGGAGAGGGCTGTGGTTGCTGGAATGAGGTCCTGGTCACGTTGGCTGTGGAAGTCAGGGCAGGTGGAAGGGTACAAAGTATCCTTGAAAGAGGTAATAGTCAGGTTTCTTACATATTATGAGTTTCATCTGCCCTGTGACCATGACTGTAGCATAACTTCCTGGTACTCGGAGTCTGCTCCTGAGATTAGCAAGTCTTTAACAATTTCAGGAACCTGTTTCTCCTCTGGCTCTAAAATAATGAGCAGTAGTGAGTTGGCACAGAAAATGATGGAACAATGGTAGATGGAACTGAAACTCAGGCTAAACCCACTTCAAGATGGTAGTGTTTTGTTTCTTTCCAGTATTGGAGATCAAACTCGAGACAAGTAATGTTGTATGTTTGTGGGAGCATGGCCCTTCAAGTTGCTTAAACTATGGTCAAGAAAGAAATAGTTGTATGTATTTATGGTAAGGCCAAGTTGAGATCTGCTAAGGTACCATTTTATTTCCTTCTCTGCTCCCGCTCCAGCTCCCAGGTAATATGATATCGACTGTCTTGACAATCTCTTGGCAAAGACTTTACCCTACATAGGCAGACTCCCTAGCAGAAGCTGGCAACATCGTGGTGAATGCTTTGGCCCATAAGTACCACTGAGTTCCCTGTCCATTAGTTAATGCTTTGTGCAGAGGATCGTGTGTCCCAGAGTTCATCTTCTAAAGGTGTAATGGGGGACATGCTCTGCTTCCAAACTTATTTCCAATACTGCAAGCAGAGAATGAAAGCTTGAAAGTTATGCTCTATGGAGAATATCATTCTACCCAATCCTGGTGCTTAGCATTTATGTTGATTCAGCCCGAAGGAAGGAGTCCAATGAGAACGGAAATATTAGAAACTAGGAGTTTGAGAGGGAAGGAGAAGAGAATTTCATGATATTCTGCAGATAGTATCTTTAGAGGTATGAAACTTTTCTTTAGAAAAGTTAGAGGATTGTTGAAAATAGTTGAGTGTATGTTAGGGCTAGGGTAATGTTCCTATATATGTTTCTATGCATATAAACTCAGATATAACTCACTTGATGAAGTACACTTTTACTCAGTATAAGAAAAGTCTTTTGGTACTTGGGGACCAAACTCAGGACCTTGTGCTTGTGAGAAAGGCATGGTGCCACTGAGCAAAATCACCGGCCCTAAGAATTATGATTTTATGCCTGTAATGCACAGAAGATGCCCTGAAGTTTTCCTTTGTGTCCTGATATTATTAATAGGAAATCATTGTTAAGTCTGAGGAGTTGGGTGCTGTGGCTGACATTTCTACTCATTTCCTAGGCCTATGACTTGAAATACTTCTTGAAGCTTCATAAATTCATTTACAGATTTTCTTGCAGAGATATTTGTAGGAACTAAGTGAATTAATGGTTGTAAAGCCTTTATCATGCTGCCTGATACACAAGCAGTCTCCCTCCCTCTCCCTCCCTCCCTCTCTCTCTTCCCTGCATGTTTTTGTTTCTAATGGTAATGCTTTTATTCTCTATCTGAATTCATCATTACATATCTCTTATATGGCTATGTTTTTAGTTTTAATTTGCCTATGTAAATGACAGTTAGTATAGAAGACAATAGATCATAGGTGAAGATAAAAGGCC